TCTTTGCTTTCTTTGGTTCTCTGCATCCAGACTCTCCATGCTAAATCTTAGGGGAATTGGGTTTGATTGGGTGTGTTCTGACTGAAGTGTTGTTGTCAGGTGGCGTAATCGACGTCTTGGAGGCAACTAAGAAGTACTATGCTGAGTCGGCATACCCAGTTGTGGTAATAAATAATTTTATACATGATAGCTAGTTATTTTGCAAGGTTGTGTACTTTATATTGTATGTGACAAATTTTTATATGAAGCTGTACATCGGATAGAGATATGCTGAAATCTTCTTTGCTGTTTGACGTGGCCCGACAAGAACTTTGGAAATGCTTTTGGAATAGTAATTAGATATGGAATTCATTTTTTGTCTTTCCTTAATTTTAAGGAAAAAGAATTCTTTCAGGGATTTTGATGTTTATTTGTTGACCACAAAGCCTATCAATTAGAGACACCAGTTGATAGCATCCTCAAGTTCTCTACAAGAACTCAAGAGAGTTCAAAACCTACCTTAGTCTCAAATAGGGTGTTTCCGAATGGTGAGAAACAATATCTAAATGAGAAAAAGTAATTAATATGAGGTGGAGATGGCACCCACGTTATTCTTGATAATTGAGAAACTTGTCCTGAAATTTGTTTTATGTGCTGAGATAGTGGGGAGACACAGAGTCACCTATTTGTGCAGTGCGATTTGGCATGGAATTTGTGGATGAGGCATTTTCTTTTATCCTGCAGAGAAGTTCAGTCTTCCAAGTTCTTTTATCTCGAATTCTCTGATTATGCATTTCCTTAATGTTTCAGTCTCTTTTCAGTCAATTCCTGTCATAAAAATATTATTAACCTATATAAGAGAGCCATGACTTCTCCTAAATCTAAGTGCTTTGTAAAGAGTGTATGATCGCCGTGACTCTGCTTGTACCTTTGATAATTCTATTTTTAATCTCGAACTCTAGTATTATTTTTTATAATCATTATGTCATCAACATATATTAAAATAGCTGTGACTTCCCCTAAATTTGAGTGCCCTATCAAGCATAAATGATCTTTCAAACTATTTTTGTACCTGTGGTAAACATTACTTTGACAAATTTTTCAAACCAAGTCGTTGGTAATTGCTTTAGACGATATAATGTTTTATTCAAGCAACTGCTCGCTTTATTGTTTCCTGATTTACCCCAGTGCCCTGGGAGCATGTTTTAGCGGCCTCCCACGAAGAGCTGTGGGGGGAACCCATCCGACACATAAAGGAAATGCACTTTCAACATAAGGTCCAAGGAAACATGACAGTGTAACCCTTTGCCCCTACA